TTCCTGCCAATTTGTCCCTTTCATCATGCAAATCCTCTCTCTTATCATAAACCTTGACAGATGCAAGAATTTCTTCAACTCTAATAGTGTCAAGATCTCTGGTTTCTTCAATGATTGACACTATGGACTTGTACCTCCTACTTAGACTCATCAACAATTTTTGGACAATCCTTTTCTCTGTTACATCTTCTCCTAGAGATTTCAGGTTGTTTACAATTTCAAAAAAACGAGCCAAGTAGTCATCCAGAGATTCAACATCATTCATTCTCAAATATTCAAAGTCAGCTCTAATAGCTTGTAATTTCACAGCTCTTACCTTTTTATCTCCTCTGAACTCTCTTCTTAGAATTTCCCAAGCACCTTTTGCAGTCTTCTCATTTCTGATGCGAGGAAAGAGTTCATCTGTCAGTGCTCCTTGAATAAGACTCAAAGCCTTGGCATTTTTGATCTTATCTTCTCTGGAGATAGTAGGTGCTTCCACTGGAATTTCCTCAGCCTCACTCTCTTCATCTCCAGTGCCTTCAGAGCCTGCTTCCTGCTCAATAATCGGCTGTGGTTGTATTCCAATCTCCACTGCATCCCATAAATCATATGCTATGAGGATAGTCTCCATTTTTACTGACCAAAAATCATAGTTTGAACCATTGAACTGTGGAGTTCGTAAATCTCCACCTGCAGAACCTGATCCCACCATTTTGATGTGAGTCTCAGTGAACCACACAATAAAAGAGCAACCTTTATCCCTTATAGAGATTTCAGGAAAACCCCCTTTCTCACAGCTCACGCCACTTCTCTGAAATCAGACCAGGAGCTCTGATACCATGTTAGAATTTGGTATTTAGCTTGCTGGTTTTTAGAGACTGATTTACAGAACAATAAAACCTTTTGTAAGCAACGTATGCAAAGGAGAGAAAAACTCAGAGAGAATGAGAATGATTCAGTCTATTTTCTGTATATTGCATCAGAGCCAAAATCACACTATATGCATGACACAAGCTGCCAAAAAACAGATCCTAAAAACTAGGACACAAGGACTCATCTCCAGCCATTCAAGGTCATTGGAGGCTATGATTCTTACACCTAGGCTAGAAATTGTTACAGCAGAAAATACTAAGACAGCTAAGAATGACAGCTGTAAAATTTCCTAAAATAGTAAGAAAACTAGCTGTTGGACATATCCTATAACAGCTATTACTATAAAAGGAAAGTTCTTCAGTTCCTTCGATTTCATCATCCTCTTCACTATCAATCTGCAGGATTAACATCTGCAGCTTGATTCAAAACTAGTATGCAGCTTAACTCTCAACACTAAATACGTCAATGACTCTTTGCCCACATCCAACACTCATTTGGGAAGGTCGCCTTGAATTCGGTTGTGGGAAAGGTATAACGCTTCCAAGTTTGGTGAGGCTCTTAGAAAGTATGGGAACTCACTTATGTTACAAAACGACAAATCTAGTGTCCTGAGTTCAAGCCAGGTGCTGTTACTCAAATAGTTGAAACTCAAGGATAGATGGTTACAGGAAAGATTAAGCCTAACAAGACTCTGGAGTTTTGAAAACTTTTCGAACTCCACTGTTCCACTCAAGTCATTGGATGATAGATCAAGCCATCCAAGGTTCACTAGCTCATAGATTGATCTTGGAATCAGGCCATGCAACTTGTTATAACTTAAATCAAGCTGTGACAAAGAACGAGATTGAAACTCAAAGATATTACTGCTGAGTTGGTTTCTTCCGAGGTTTAACTCCTCCAATGATGGCAAGCTTCCTAACCAAGATGGCACCGTTCCGTTGAGTGAGTTGTTATATAAAGTGAGCTTGGTTAGGTGTCGAGGAATAGGTCCCACCAGTTGCCCTTTTGAAAACTCATATAAAGAAGAGATCCCTGTTGAGTTGCGCACAACTTCTGGAAATTGACCCACAAAATTGTTGCTACTAAGATCCAAGTCCTTGAGTCTCTCAAGGTTTAGAAGCGACCATGGAATATGGCCACCAAAACTGTTATATGAGAGGTCCAACAACATGATTTGTGTGAGGTTACCAAGCGATACAAGATATGATCCTACAAAAGTGCAATTTCTGAGAAACAAATATCTCAAAGACCTGAAGTTTCTGGTGAGATGATGCCAATCTACTGAGATTCTAGTATGAGAGAGGTCTAAGCTTTCGAGTGGACTGCTCCAGTTAGACTTGGGGAAATAACCTGTGAGGTTATAGTTTGAACCTAAATTCACTTGTCGAAGGTTTGGTGGGTGGAAAATGCTCTGTGGGAATTTTCCTTGCAAGTGGCAATGAAAGAGTATAAGAGTTGTCAGCGAAGAAGACAGATTGTTAAAGGAATCAGGTACAACTGATGACATATCAACTGCAGCCAGATCAAGCTCCCTAAGATTGGTTAGGTTTTGAACAATTCTGTTCAAGCTAAGAGTATCTAGTGTCACAGCAGCTTGGGAGAGATTGAGTGAAACCAAGTTGGAAAGGTGGGAAATTTCTGAAGGGATTGGGCCACTGAAATTGGAGTCAGAGAGGTCAAGGTGAGTCATATTTACAAAGCCACCAAACTGGGAGGAAATTGGGGAGCCTCGAAAATCATTTCTTGAGAGGTCTAGCCGCCTGAGATGGCGAAGAAAGAACAAGCTGTTGTTGGAATGGATACTGCCTTGAAGCCCACCGAAATGAAGGTTGAGACTGATCACACGACCAGTCATCTTTTCACAAGTGACTCCACTCCATGCACAACAATTCTTGCCTTTTTGCCAAGAAATTGTCCTATTAGAATATAAGGAAAGAGTACGAATAGAAAAGGCCTTCTTGAATTGAAGCAAAGCATAGCTATCATCAGGATGACATAAATGCATTGAAGAAAAAGAAGAGGAAGAGGAAGAAATAGATGATGATGAACAAGTAGAGTTAAATTGACAAGTAGTAAAGAGCAGAAAGAGGAGGCACAACCAACCCATCTTTCCTTCAAAATCTAAAAATAATTTTGTGAGCAACTCTATAATGGAGACGTTGATTTTATAACAAGTTTCGTCAACAGTGATTTATCTGTAATGTCAGATATTTGATGCAAAATCATCAGCAAGCAAGCAAGCATCTGTTGACATCGAGGGTGAAACATCTTTTGGAAAATTTTGCAAACAAAGCTTTGATTTGATTGGCCTTGACGCTGATTGACATTTGCTTGGCCTTTTGTCACAATCTGTGAATGAACTTTGAGAGCAAAGTCATGTACACAGGATAATTAACAATTGTAAAAGGGAACTAGATTTTTATTTAAGGCCACAACAGAAGTCCAGCCGGTGTGACGATAAGGTTGTCCCCTGCCTGCGTCAGTTTTCACAGATGATTATCATTATTATTATTATTTTGGTAAATATTATGAGGTGTCTTCACACCAGAAAGTATGGGGTTAATTCCATGTTCTGCTTGCTTTTGACCACAAAATGCTCCTAACTGACTTTGAATTCCTGCCAATGGTGAGAGCTGAAGATGGTAATTTGCCAATTGCGCCGAACCTTGTAATTACATATGATTTTTTCAATTGAGACGATTATTTTTGCTTGTCTTTTCACTGTCTGTCGCTACCCTTAGGCATTTGGTAGGCATCACTCTCAACTATTTTCGGTAGATTCGATGAAAAAGGAAATAGCTTTAACTTTATGAAAGGTGCAACTTTGTTTTGGGTGAAATGAAAGGTGCAACTTTAACTTTATGACTTGCCATGTTTATCACACTCATTAGCCAAATTTAACTTTATGCGTGTGCAAGAGCTTCTCGTGCCTTCCCTTCACTAGCCAGATTCCTAAACATCGGCTCTTCTCAAGTACCTGCATATAAATAAAACATAGAAAAGATTATAATAAAAACTTTGAAGAAACACTAGTCTCAAGAAATAATGGATGTACGCTTATCACATATTACTTAATTTGGTAGAGATTTAATTCTTATATTTCCCTCTTTAAATCCAATTCAACAATTTTCTTTTAAAATCCAATTCATATCACCTGCTACGCAACAAATTCTAAATGTCTTCCTTAGCTTGCAAGCTCTTCAAGCAGAGTCACCTCATCTACATCCAAGTAGATTCATCTTCTTCTTTTTTTCTTTTTTTTTTAAAAAAAATTGGTTGGAAGATGAACTTCATTTTAAGACCTCACCCAAAATAGGGAGGGCACTATGACAACAAACAAAGCAACCCAGTAAGGAAGCCAAAGAAGCTATCTAATCTGTACTTTCAAATAAATAAGAACAAACAAACTGTCCCAGATAATGATATCAACATATAAACAAAATTGGGTGGAGAGGCGAAAAGACTAGTCGCACCCTGATCCCTTCTCTCCTTGCCGACAACCTCCTCCCTTCCACCCATTTTCCCCTTCCTGTCCTCATCTCCCCTTCTTTTTCTCCCATATTTTCCCTTCCTCTTATCCCCTCTTCTCCTCCCATTCCCTTCCCTAGATAGTCTAGATCTGTTTGTATGTTTGTTTTGTTTGATTATTTTTGCAGTGTTCTAGGTGGCTGGTGTTGCCTTTGTCTCAGCGGTGGTGACAGTAGTGAAGCTGGATTGTGTCTCTTCTATGGAGAATTGTGATACCTAGTGGCTGATGTTTTGTCTATGTTTCAACGGCGGCGGCAACAGCGACGCTAGTGGTAGTTGTTGGGATGTGATGCTTTTCTCTACTCTACGCCAACAGAAGAACTATGCTTGGTCATATAAGGTTTTCTTTGTCAGGTTCTGAGTTGAAATGGAGTGCTTCTCATGGGGTCCTCTTTTATTGTTGTTTCTGTGTTCCTCCTATGTATTCTCTCCTGGTTTCTGCTATGATATATGCCTTGCAATTTGTGTGGGTGTCAAAGGACTACGATTTTGCTCATAGAAGTTTCCTTTTGACAGTTGGGATGTTTTACAGTCCTCTCCTGTGGGTTTACTATTTGGGGTTTCTACGGTCCTCTCATGTGGGTGTTGGAGGTCTTTGTGCTAGTTTTCAGTTTTAAATTTTTTCTTTTATTGTAATGTTCCAAAGTGACCTGAAAGGGACTCTCTTGTTAGTCCATGAGATGTGTGGTAGTCTTTCATCTTCTGGGGTTTGTCCCATGAGGTTGTCCTAGGAAGGTTTTAATGAGGCCACTTTAT